TGGTTCTGCTATCGTGTAGCCAGAGTAAGTTAGCCCTTGTAACCTCATAACTTCCTCAGCTGCAAGATTCTTGCAAAGATGACATCCATGAATGTGTGGGATGTCCTTTGAACAGTAAGCCTCCTGTCACTATTAACTATTATTAGTGTCCCCTATGTGATCTTGTCCAGGCCAATTAGAATCTCTGGGCTTCACTTTACTGACCTATAAATGGGGAGGAGACTATGTACCTCACAGAGGTATTGTGAGACTTAGTAAAACATTTTATTGTTTTCAATAAATTGTAAAACACTATGCAAACTTAAGCCTTTGCCACTTCAACTGATAAATGTGATGAATGAATTGTTTCTCATTAACATTAAATAGATAATACATTAAAAACATTAAACTGCTAATAGTCATGCACAAATTTTATGAAGCAACTTTCTTTCAGCCATGCTTCCAACTATATCTTCTTTCCCAAAAGAAGAAAAAGTAAGACAACCTGAAAGCCAAATCAGGAAGACCAAAGAAATCTATAGTTCACAAAATGCTCTTATTCTTCATTTCTAGCTTTCATAAATATAAAATGGTTACTATGCAATTAAGTTACACTGGGTACCCTGCGGATGCTTTTTTTCTGAGAATAATCTGTGCAGTACATTTTTTTCTGGATACCCAGAGTAAAATCCTGCTGTTCAAAGTCACAGAAGTTCCCTCTGTCACCACAACTTGCTTCTGAAGAATGGTGGCTTTACTAGATTTTCTGACTGCCACTCTGTCCCCCAAATCTATTCCAACAGAAGGCGGAAACACCACAAAATTCCTGGTACCAGAACGTGCAGCACCCCTATGGCTGTTTCACAGGCAATTCAGCCTTTCCCTGAGGGATCACCTGTGATTCTCCACACGAAAAACCAAGTGGGAAAGAGTACACAGCAAGGAGCCATGTCTGCATTACACTACAGGAGACAGGTTTGATTTTAGGTATGAGGAGCTGGGGCGAGGGTTCAAGTCTGGACCACAAATGAGAAGAGAACGGTTTCTGTTGATAAGCAAAACAGTCCTTCCATCACCAAAACTGTATTTTGCTAGAAAACAAATTGGAAGCATCTTTCTAGCTAAATGTCACCTAAATAAAAGTGAGCAACTTGCCCCACAGCTCTGTTGTCAATTGCTTCCTCCCTTCATTTTTCCCACAGAACACTGAACAAAAAGCTACATTCCATTCTAATTTCTAAACTTTCCAGCTACAGCAAGTAGCACAGCATGGCGCACAGCTTTGTGTAGTATTTGATCACACCACAAGAACTGATCTAGAAGATAGGATGGGTAACTTTACACAAAGGCTTTTTAAAAACCCAACAAATATAAATTATCTAGGGTTTTCTTGCTAACAGGAGATCTGCTTTTCATTTCCTATGGTTCTGATACTTTTCCCACTCAAGTATTTTCCTAGGTTAATCTTTGCTCTTTTACTTTTGCCAACATGGCTAGAATATATTTCCGGGAATCTTTAATTGATTTCTAGGACATAACATGTTTTTTTTTTTCATAAGCACTGGCTTTCTTTTTCTGTTTCATAATAGTCTCTTCTCTTTCTTACCAAAGTTTTATCCCTTTTCCCTGACTCCCATTTCAAATATAAGGGGAGGAGGAAGTACATAAACAAAACAAAGAGAAACATTGAACAAGCTAAAGAAAAACACCAACAAATAGATTGTATTCTGCAATATTCTCAAAATATCCCAAAGTTGGAAAATGAAACAAAAGTCTACCATCAATAGACTAAGATGCCATTTCTCAATAATGTCCAACATGTTCTACCAAACCAGTTTGGTAAATAGCCACTGAAGATATTTTGTTCATATAAAGGAAAGTCTTAAAAACTATACTGCAGATTATATTATTCATCTTTCAGCTGCTCATTCCCTGAACAGACAGTGCATGTTTGTGAATGGACTCGATTTAGAGTCCATAACTTTTCCCCGTTCTTTCATTGTTTGCAATTATTTTCCTTTTTTTAAATCCTTCTCACTCTTCAAGGCTCCCAGGGGATCTGAGCTTCTAATCTGGCACCCCAGCTGGGCTAGAAATCAGTATTTATGTTCCCCCAGTAACTGGCAGTACGTCCTCCATTATATTCATATTATCGATTCTCTGTATATTTTCTCCCACCATAAGGTAGGACTTGACCTCAGCCATCTTTCTATTCCCAGACCTAATAGTGGCAATACCGTATAGAATATATGTTTGCTGGACCACAGCTGAGAGGTCTTCGTGGATGGGTAAGATGTGGACAAGTAACAAGTGCTAGTCTTTCTCTTGCTTTTGCTCTACCACGTATGCTGTCCTCTGCCTGAGGACAGTATCTGTATCTCCCCACCCTCCACAGAGCAGCTAACTGCTTAACATTCTCTAAACCTCAGTTGAGATGTTGCTTTCTGCAGGACCCCATCCCAAAACTACAAAACTGGGGTGGAGAGGCCTTCCTTTGGCCCCCTTTATCTATCTGATCTTTGGTAGCATATCTTTCAGTATCACTCCAGCTCACTCTTCTACCTGACCTAGTTCCTCAATTAACTATGCTGTGTAAGAGCAATGAAAAGAGCAATGACCCCTGAAACATTACCTGGCACTATGGTGTGAGATCAAAATATATCCACAGAACATGTAAATAAAAGTGTGTAAATATAAGCTCACCTTCATATCAAATTTTGTTGGGATAAAAATTATACTAATATTCCATTCTTTTCAGTTTTCTGAATGATAGAAATAAAGTGGACAAAAATGGAGACCGTGTTTCTCTGTGAAATTATTTTTTGAATAATCTTTTGGAAATTCTATCACCAGGTGGAAATCCTTGAATTATATTATCATATAAATAATAATGAAAGTTTTTTCAGGAAGAATTGTTTTTGGCTAAGTCTAAAGTGGCCATATTTATTAGACACTCATAAATTTCATAAATGGCACTACATTAAAAACTTCTCATTCATAATTTTACTTTTAAATACCTGATTTTCTCAGTCATCTTCATCAAGTTTTCTGGAGCTTTGGAAATTTTTGACTGTATTTGCCTTGAAAATTCCTTTGCCACGACCCTGCTCTGGACTGGTTTTTATGCTTAACTTCTAAACAAATCCTACTCTGCATCTTTTATTTGCTCTCTTCTTCCTACTAACTTAGACCCTTACTTAAAGCCTTTTGCTTCGAATCTTCCCACCCTTGTCTCAGTAATTAATTAATTCTGTTTCCTCTCATAAGACCACTGCTAGTTGGTTAATGATTCCCAAATTTCTATCTGCAAGCCTAGTGATTTCTGTAAGTCCACATCTCTAACTAGATATTGCATTGATACTTCGTGTAAAATGTACATAAAATTAAGCTTATTAATTTCCTCTTGGTTTTAAATGAATGGCAGCATCATTCATTTGACCATCCAAGCACAAAGTTCAGTGCCATCCGTGACATTTTCCTTTGCCTTGAGCCCTTCATCGAAGCAGATGCTGATTCCTCCCGCATGGCCACCCCAGTGCGCCTCTGCGCCCTGCCCCCTGTCACCTCCATCCGCCTCACACCCTTGTTATCTGTCTGGAGTGCACTGACTACACAATGACTTTCCAACAGTTTTCTCTATGTGCTCCAATCCTTCAAATGTGTGCTCTCAGTAGCTATCTCCCCAAACACTGTCCTAATTATGTCACCAGATCATCACTAAATGCAATGGCCCCAACAGTGCATAAGCTCTGTGAGAATGCCTCTGCTTGACCTTCAAATTTCTCATATCAAGTTTCATGTCACCTTGATCATGTGGGACAGATGAAAAAGGGTCTAGTCTTATCCCATGTCTAATACATAGCAGATACTCAATAAATATTTTGTAAAATGAAAAACTGTAAATGTGGGTACTATACAAATGGTATCATGCCACTCTCTCATAAAGACCTTCTTCAATGGATTTCTACTGTATACACAATCTAGTCTCAGCTTCTGAGTACAAGATGGCCCTTGTATACCATTCTCACCTCTCTTGCCAGGCTCTTTGGGCTCCAGCCTTATAGAATCACTTGCTTTCTTTACTAATGAGCCACTGGATATAGTTTCCTCCCTCTGATTTTTGTATGTCTCTTACCTGTCCTACAAGAGTAAATTCAGGAACTTCCTTACCCATCTCATTCTGGGTTAGCTGCTCTTAAGATAGAGTGCAGCTCTTTCATTACACATATTATGCCCGTGTCTCTGTATTCCCTACTCTAAGGTAAGCTCTTCGAGGACAGGCTACATCTTCCTTCGTCTTCCAGGGTGCACCACAGTACTCACCCATACTTACTACACTGCAGTGAGCATGCTTTCCTACTGGCTACAGCTGCTGTATCACCCATTGCCTGTAATCAACTAGCTGTACACAACCCACAAACTATGCCACGATTGGATTCAACTTTCCCCTTCGGGCCACTGGCCTTTATACTGTGCCCCAGCACAAACAGAAAACTTGATTTTTCTAACTTTCATGTGTTTTCCAATATTATTCTGAACTTTAATTTTTCAAACTTCCCCTATCTCTCAGCACACATAAAGAACATCAGAGTCATAAGCCTTTCTGTCTAATTTCCCAAAGTTTCTTTCAGCTTCGCATTACTTTGTAAAACTTCCTCATAATTAATACTTGCCATAATATTATAATATATATTATAAGAAGTTATCCAACTATTCACCTTATTCTATTTATTGTGACATAAACTCCTTTCTAGTAAGGACCACGGTCTATCTGTCTATCTCCCTTAAATTACATCATTACTGGAACACAAAAAATACTTGGTGTTAAATTCATGAGAATCTGTGTTACGATGAACACCAGAAAAGTACAACAGAACTTCTATAATGAAACTGAGAGCCTATGCAGAAAACTCTTTTACTTTACATATAGGAATATATACTTTTATAACCACTGTAATACTGAGATTTAACTTGATTACGTGCATTTCTTTCCTTCAGTCTTAGCCTTTCAATCCACTTACTTTATATTCTCATTTGCAGGTACTTCGGGCAGTTGCACGGTAATCATGCCATCCAAGTTGGTCTTCCCAATGAAGGCAGGCTTGGTCCGGAGCACATCTGGTGCAGTCTTTGCTGTTACCCTGTGCTGTAGACCCCCAGCACTGTTCCCACGATTTGTCAGCACGAATGAATAGGACTTCTCAGGCTTCAGGTTGACAATCAGCTTCTGGGTAGCTCGACCATCCACTTCTTCCACCATTTTCCCATCATCATAAAGAATCTGGAGCAATACAACCGATCGAAGAGATGTGGTTATCAGAGAGACAATATGTACCTTCTAAACTAATGGGTACTTGCCTCCGAAGAAGGTATAGCAGGTCAATTCTAATTTGGGGCAATTCCTAAGCCCATAAAGTGTTCATACACTCTTGTGATTGCATCAATGTTTCTTTCAGTTCTTACTCTATAATGATACAACGTTCCTAAGTCCATCAAAACCACACAAAGAAATGTATAGTAAGTTTTCAATATTTGACCTGTCGGTGGCATGTTATCTCAAAGTAATGTGTGCAGAACATGTGCTCTAGGTTTTCAATGTATTATCAACATTGCTTTTCCTAAATATTTTCATTCCTGTTCCTAAATATGTTTTTATTTTCAAAAACTTTATTTCATAGTTTAATTTCTTGCCAACATCTCTCAGGATCTGTCAATAGCAAACTAGAGTTTAAAATATGCAAAGAATTCAGGCCAACAAACACTTTTAAAATCCCAGGATACAGCATTATAAATAAGTAGAAACCATGAAAATTTCATTTTCTGGTGGAAAAACAAAAGTATTCACTTAGAGGCAAAAAGTTCATCTTGGAAGTATTAGGTGACGTACAAGTAACGTCAACCCTAAGTTTCAGCTCCTGTGTCCTCTTCCCAGTGGAAGAGTTACATTAAAGAGCCCCAAACTCAATCATTATGTGAAAGCCACAAATGAGAAAAGCAAACACATGTGGCTGAATCAACATGGTCTGTATGCTTTATAAGTAACTTACCCAGGTGAACTGCCTACCCCTCCTCTCACCCCCCACTTGTACCCATGACATCTTACAAATTAGAAAACAACTTACTTTGAAAGGCATAGCAGAATTATAATTTTCTGGAATCTCCCAAGACAGTAGCACTGAAGTCTTCATTACTGCTTTGACATGAAAATTTTTTGCAAACACTGCTGGAAAAGGAAAAACAGTGTATTTAAACTACTCCTAAAAACATATGACCTGTCCTTTTCCATCATGGACCACAAGGCTTAAGCTAGATGCCATCTACTTTGATCAGAGAAAGAAGTGTGATTTGCCTACCTGTTCAGACCACTCATTTTACTACCCCATTCTCATAAAGATCTCTCCTTTCTCTCCAGTTCAGGCAGCTATACTGTATTTTCCTTACCTGAGAACATTGGGGTACTGTCAGCCACACTTGCTTGGCAATCTATAACTGAAATCTAAGGCATCCAAAACATATTAAGTTTCACATACTTTACCTTTTTGCTTTTGCTGGACCTATTAATATGAATGGGCCGATCAGTTAATTACAGCTTCAAAACACTGATTTCCAAAGACTGACATTCCTTTAAAGGAGGAAGGCCATAAGCAGACAAATCCTACCTTGATCCACAGGCAGTGTCCTGAACTGGACACTGGGACTATATGGCCCGGGCCCTTTGCTCGTGTGAGCACGTACTTTTACATCATATGTGGTATCTGGTTTTAAGCCACTGAGTGTCATAGTGGTGTCAGCTGGAACAATAAGCTGCTCCATTGGAAGAAGAGGGATGTTGATATCCCTGTACAGAAGTGTATACTTGGTGATAATGCCATTTCTTTCTGCCAGGACAGGTGGCTGCCAAGATAACTGTACGGAGGTTGAAGTGGTGCCTTCTGAGTGGAGGCTTTGAGGGAATCCGGTTGGGACTTCTTCTGGAACAGAAATCTCTTTCACCATCTCCTCCCCAAAGCCCACTTTGTTTCTGGCTGAGAGCCTGAAGATATACGATGCTCCTTTGTGGATGTCTGTAGCTGTAAAGTGGTCTTCCTTTTCAGAGAACTCAAGAGTCGTGAGGGGTTCCATGTCCTTTCGTCCAAATTTTAGACGGTAGCCCTGAAGAGGTCCAAATGTGTCCACAGGAGGGTGCCACTGAATGAGAGCAGTATTCATCTGGGTGTGGTTAATCACAAGCCGGGGTTTTCCTGGAACTGGAGCACACAGAAGAGCGGTCAGGCTAACCTACAAGGCCACTCCCATTTCAATCCCTGCTAAATGGAACTAGTACTCTATAGGAATGCCCACTTCTTTATTTACAAAAAGCCTTTATTTATACTTTTTATCTATGTTGTGAATATTAAATGAGAAAAAGCATTGGATTTTTTTATATACCTTTGTGGAAATATCTTTCTCATACTCTGTAAGGAATGTTGAGAGACTAGAATTTGAAAATGGAAAGCAAATAGGATTAGTGAAACAATAATTTAGGGGAATTTTTTTTAACGTCTTTGCAAATCAAATCTTCACATATAAAGGTTCATGGCACAGAAAAATGAATCTGAGCAAAGATTAGCCAATTAGATACAGCTAATAAGGACAATTATAACATACCTAATTATTGGATGCATGCAATGTACCAGGCATTGTGCTGAGACCATTGCACGCAGTATCTCATTTGATTTACATTCTTCACTCCTGACTACATGCTTTCAATAGTTATTATCTTCATTTGCTATAATGAGTAAATGGAACCCCCAGAGATAGAAAAGTGTGTAAGGTTAGATATGTAATCCATGAGCAAGCACTAAGACAAATGCAGATCCATCTGAATCAATACTCCAACACAACCATACTGTTATGTTGCTTGTAAGTGAAAAAAACTACAAATTAGTGTTGCTTTGACTATGGATCGAAATTGCACATTTTGTCTATACTTTATCATCCACACTAGTCATCCTCATCAAGTTCCTCATCTGTAAAATGGAAATTATAGAGTCCTACCCCATATTGTGTTGTGAATATTAAATGAGAAAATGCATGTAAAATTCTTAGCACAAGGTTTTATATTCTATTACAGCAAATCATAATTATTAATAATCAGAATATTAAGCTTTCTGTGGTCAGGGGCTAGTTTCCTATAGGTGCACAATTTGTTTCTTTTTAAATTAAGTAAGTTAGATATGTGAACATTTCTAGTCTAGTCATGCATTGGACTATTTCAATTTTTTTTTTAATGGAGAGTAATTACTCCTGGAATCCACAAAGAAAGCCATTGATAAACAACACAGAGCCAGGAGTTTATTTGGGCACAGTCCAAAGATGGGGAAGGAAGAAAAGTATCGCCAGCATCAAAACTAAGCCAAACTAACAGAAAGGGGCAGACAGATGGTAGTAAGGGAGGAAAGCATATGCTAATGAGAGACAGGCAATGAAAAATAGTATCATGGGGATGTAGACAAAAGTTAAAAAGAAAAAATTCTAAAGACGGAGAGACAATCCACAGAGTAGTAACCTCAGGAATAACCTGGTTAACAATTCATTATACAAGTCAGAAAGTTGGGACCTCAGGGGTGGCATGCTTTGCCCAAGAACACAGTCATTAAGATTTTTCTATCCCTAAACAATGAAGTAATAGCTTTGTTTGATATGCTGGGTAAGTTCACATTAAGTTCACATACTTTCGCTAACCCACAGTGAATGTAAAGAACAGTTACTGAAGTTCATAATGGCAATTATATATGTATATGCTGAAACCAGGCCAAAACAGCCCCAAAATACTGTACTCCTTGTTTCTCTTGAGAAATCTCATCCAGAGAGCTTAACGACCAAGAAACTCTCAGAACACAACCCACTCATAAGTTGGAGAATGAATTATTCTATTTATTTTAAATATATTTAAAATTGTTTGCATTTTAGAAATCACTTTAAGGTAGATATTGGCAGACATCATTAATTTCCCTTTATGTGTATATAGCATTTACATGATTTGTCCATTAAAATGCCAATGATATCACAGATTAAATCATGAAACTCTGTTGAGAAAAAAAATAGAGCTTTCAGTAGAGGCTGCAGCCTTCTATAAACAAAACCCAGTTGAAAGTATTGGGTAGAAACATAACTTAATGGTTTCAACATTTTCCAGGGATAATACACTTTATTAAATATACTTATCAAAGTTTTCCAAAATCCTGATTCCAGGGACTTGCATAAAGTATGTACAATGTGCATCTTGTTTCCATAAGATGCATGTATGTTAGAACACTTTTAAATTTCTTGATATAAGCCCAAATATACATTGTATTCTAATAATATTTATAAGCCATATCTGAATGTTTTTATTATATGTTTTTTCACTTTATAATAATTTCACTGTACAAATTTGGAGAAATATAACAGGCTGATAAATTCTAAGAAAAAAGCTCACTGGCTTTACAAAAATGTACATGTATTCTTCTGTGGTAGTCAAACTTAGGGTGGACTAATGCCTTTTGTTTTTTGATGTTAGCATGCCCTTTCTTGTTCTGGGATATAAATGCTTTGTACTTAGAATCATGAGAAAAAAGTAATGTTTTTGAAGTAAGAGAGTTGGTTCTGACCTACTGGTTTCTACTTACATGCCAGGAGAATCTCAGCATGCTCTCCATTACTAAGCCTATCACAGTCATTACTATTCTTGCGACAAGTTTCAGTAAACTGAAAACTTGGAGACACCAGCCTGGAAGCACTACGGTGCACAGGTGAAGGGCTCGGAGGGAAATGAATGCTTTGGCAGATGGTGGAAGGACTTTCGGTACAGTTTCAGGAGGGGCTGGTCGCATGAACGCATGAAGGGAGTGCCTAAAGCCTCCACAAGTGTGTGAAGAATACATGCAGTTTAAATAAGTTGGGATAAGGATTCCAGGTGGTTGTGGTATTTCATTCAAGGAATAACCAATAGAAAAAAGGAAAAGGAGTGAGAAGAGGTCTATAACATCACATATATGGTTAAAAAGAATTCTCCCAAACTCCACACATTGGTACGGTAATGAAACCCATTCCATTTCTGGCTTCCAGAAACCCTATGTACGAAACATTTACCAACTACTCACTTTGTGCAAATGCTTGTACACAGGCACATAGGCATTGGGGTGAAGAAATAAAGGTAGATAATGCAAGGTCCATGTCCTCTAACCAGTGCAAACTGTATCTTAGGAAGAAAAATAAACAGGTGGAGTAGATGGTGCTGTACGTAGTTGGGCTGAGGGTTTCTGATGCCTTACAGTAATTATGTGGACCACTTTTAAAGGGTACTAAGTACTGGGATCAATTGTTCTGCTTATACCAACATAGAAAATGGAGGACTGGCAAGGTCAAAGAGTCTTTAATTACTTAGGAGACCTTGAAAGTCATTTTTAGTGGTGTATTAGTGAACACAGTGGAAGAAGCAGAGGGTCCCACTGCAGAGTAAATATGCTGACTCAAGTCTATGCCATGACACACAATCTCTTCTCCCTCTTGTCTTTTTGATTCTTCTCATTTCCTTAGTACATTCGTCCATCTTGAAAAGTCTTTGAGGACTTGAGAAGTGGTACACACGTGTCGCTGCCCTTTACTTCTCAGCTACAGCAATCATTAGAGACCAGTCAAGGCACTCAGTCTTAGTGGTTCTAAACTTAACTTCAATTTCACCTAGTACCTGAATAGTATCATAAAAGACTGGCCTAGGCTTATAACTTCCAAATTTTCCACATCTTAGTCATCTTTTTTATTGTCCTTAAACAGAGCTACTCAGTACAGTAGTGAAATGCATATAAAAATGTAGAGAAAATATCAAACCAACAAATTTGCCCATTGCCTTAACAAGACCTCAGGCAGTAGAACAATTATTATGATACAAAACAAAGCAAGTATTAACAAAGAAGCTACAAAACTGTCATCATCACTGAAACATAAAAGCCAACATTCATTTGAACACAACCTTCAGGTTATATGAATCCTGCATGGATGGTTTAAGTTACGGCCAGTTCTCTTTGTTTCAAAGATACCTCTGTTCACAGATTCTAGGAACAATGTATAACATAAACACGTCCTACAATGAAGAATTTTATTGTTAAAATTTCATGAGAATTCCTGAATTTCCCACGGGAGCAGTAACGAAATACCCTCATAATTGTGTCTATAAAAAGATTCAGTGATTCTTCATAGTCACATGATTATGAGTATTTGTTTTGTCATGGTATGTAAAACAAATTCATGTGTTCACTGATTGCCTGGAGATAAACATGACTAGAGAATGCCTTCTGATTAGTGGATTGGCAGAAAAGAAAACTAGAGCTTTCCTCTTAAGGGATTACAAACCTGGGTTCTCCTACCTCTAACCCTGGCTCTGCTGGGACCTCTCAAGAGAGTAAATGTGCAGACATCTAAATTATAAGCACTGCCTACTTACCTCAATATCTAAGTCTTCATTAAGAAAAATCTGAAATTGTTTTCCTGATTTCTCTGTTTGTTGTTAGTATACAGGAGTGCAACAGATTTCTGTATATTGATTTCATATCCTGCAACTTTGCTGGATCTAGTTATTAATTCTAAGAATTTGTGAATGGAACTTCCAAAATCATCCTCTGTGTTAATAAGATCCATAATCCTAATAACTTTATGTATCATGACTAAAAAGTAATAAGATAGTCTTAGTGACATTAAAATAGACAATATCATTTCTTTTTCTAGGATTCACATCCCTTGGTTATAAACGGCTACTTCCCCCTCCTCCTTATAAGATTCTCATCTTCTGGGCAATAGGAGTTTGATGCCTTGTGCAGGACATTTCAGGTTAATTAAGGCATAGTTATAAATTATGGGCAAAGGAATTGTGTTTTCTTTTTGGGATTCAGTTTCAGGGTTTTATTCTTGGTTGCCTACGTTCCAAAGAGGCTGGTTCCATAGCCAGTCAACACGCCCCAACAGAACACGTACTTATCTCCTAGGCAGTGCACTAAATTAGCTTCATACAATAGGATTCTTAAAAAAAAAAAAAAAAA